TTACCGCAAACCTTCCTTTATGTTAAACACGAAAATCACGAAAGTGAGTTTTTATATAGCCTACAATTAACATTTTCTGTACCATAATTTCAAACACAAATCAGTTTGGTTTAATCCGTCCTCCTCCTCGTCTTCCTCGTCATTCAAAGGCTTCGTGTTGCGACGACTCTAGTTTGTTTCATTACAAATATCAGCCACTGCCTTGACATTGCCAAACAGTTGTACACGCCAGTCTACAATGTACAAACACATCCTTGACTTGTATGACTCTCCGAAGAACAGAAACCTTTGATGAAGCTTGAGTATGTATCTGGTGCTGGGGAGTCTTTAACAGGGAGATTGTAATCAGGCTGTAGGGAACCTAGTTTCCTCATTCCTTACCCAGCCATTTCCATCGCGGATCAATAGGTTCTGGATGTCTTTTAGGGCATGTCCGAGAGTGACACTTGATAGTGTGTTCTTTTTGACTTTTTCTTTAATGCTTCATGGTGTGTGGCAGCATGCACAGCTTCGTGTACAGTTTGCTCCTTATGATATAGATATTACCAGCTTTAATGTTGACTCACTCAGTTCGATGATGTTGCATCATGCATGTTTTTTTTTTTTTTTTTTATATATATATTAATTATTTATGAAAAATGTTTTTTGTTTTTTTTTTTTTTTTTTTTTTTTTTTTTTTTTTTTTTTTTTCGAGCTGCTGAATCAAATAAGTGGACATAAAGAGAAAGCAACACATCATTAAATCAGTCAGCTCTGAATTTCCAAGGAGGACTCAAGTGATCAAATTTTTCCTCCATCGAGAGTTTTTCAACATCATTGCCCTTTCCGATCCCGTGTGCTCCGGCGGGGGGGCGGGGGGGCGCGGCCTGGGTCGGCGCCCCGGCGCTGCGGGCGTCGGCCGGGCCCGGGGCGGGGCGGGAGGGGGGGGGCGCCGGCGGGGCGGCGCGCCCGAGGTCCCGCGAGGCGAGCGGGCGCTGCGGGCGGGGGGCGGTGGGGCGGCAACATGGACAGTTGTGCAATCCTGTCAGGGCATGGGACTGGTAATCATGTCGGGAATGATATCTTGATAAGCTTGTATTCACATGTATGCACGAATATATTAATATCCCACAGCTCTGCCTTACTTGGTGATCGACGTTGCATTATCATGCATGTTACGCCTCTATCGACGGTAATGGTACAGCCCAACAGAACGTACATCATCGTGTCATTGCTTCACAATGACTTATTTTCTTCTTCTCTTCTTGGCCTTGCATATCATGGCCGGTGCTGGACATTGTGTCTGGTTCTTCAGATCGTGTCTGAGGTTGTTCATCGATATTAGCTTAAGCGATGAGGATCTTTACAGGCACTTTCACTCTGTGGCTCAGTGAATGACTAGATGTGCGGAATCGCCTCAGTACATCCATGTCACTTTGTAAAGTCCTCATCAAATAATTTGGATTCATTGCTTCTTGTCTTGAGAGATTGTTTTGTAAATTTGTTTCTGTGAGGGACGGTGATTGATGCTGTTAATTGTAACCCTACAACACCTGGACGGTGTGGTGGTGGGGGGGGGGGCCGTGCGGGCTGAATCATTTGGTGCGTATATGTATTACCTGTCAAGACGAATATAATCCCCCATCGTAGGCGCTGTGTACGAATTCTTTGAAACCTTCTACATAAGTGCGGCTTAGCTACGACTCTCCGACGTTCTGCTTCTCACGGACACTTAGTGGAGAGCACTCAAAGTTGGAGAGCGCAGGGATCTCTATCACAATTTGCACCAGGAATACGACGAAAAACTGATTAGCAAAGAGGCGGTTTTGGAAATGAAAAGGAACCCATTTCGTTAATGTGTTACTAAAACTTTTTTGTCATTTACCCATATTATTTTAATATGTTCCTGAGTTCTAAGTTGGTTGTGCTGTGAAATAAATGTCATACGAACAGTTTTTACATACTATTTATCTTATTAGATGATTATTAAAACTATTTGATATTGTGTTTGCAATTGTTATTCTCCATTTATTACCAATGTCTATTGTGTCGATTTTTATGTAGAATTAGTAGCACGATTTTCCAGGTGCATCGGGTTATCCGGCAGCTAGTATTAAATAAAGGTGTGTAGAGTAAATTCCCCACCACTGCTAAGAGTGACAGTTGGTGGTATCATTGAGTAGACTACTGAAGCAAAGTCTTTAAAGCAATAAAAACAACTTATATAGCTATGCAAGGTCAGTATAAAAAGCATCTTTCTGCCGGACTAGAATAAGACTGCAATCTCTCGCCGCAAAGGCGCAAGCTTTAACACATAGTTTTTTTGGCGTTGAGCGCTCGTTCGAATAAATACTATGTTGAGCAATTTTGTTTGTGTTAGTGAGGAAATTCTCATGACTTCTGTTTACTGTCATCAGGCAACGCCTCACGACGCGCGCACCACGACGCGCGCGACACACCTCACGGAGGCATCGCGCGCGTGCACACATCGCAGGCGGGGCGTTACTTCGATAAACGTAGCCAGTGTAATTTATACGTATTATAATTATATATATATAATATAATATAATAATATATATAATATATACAATATATTTATTATCATATTATATAAAATAAACATTTGCGTTATACCACAGGAACACGCGCGTGCTCGCCCACGTGCACACACGCACCCACGCATACACGCACAATGAGTATATATCAGAAGTAGATATAATTATCTACTTCTGATATATAATATATATATATATAGAAGTTTTATAATTAACACCACCAAATGGCTCGAGGCGTAGAATATATGAGCCGAAAACGCAGCAGTGCCGATATGTTTTCTGCAACAATGGTATATAACGAATCCGCTCACGCTACGCGTTCAGCCGCATATCTGATCATTATTTGGTCGGTGTAATTTTGCTGGGTGTCACTTATAGATTCCACCGACATATAATCGATATGTCACGCAGCACGAGCATTAGTTGAATGGGGTGTCACTTGAGCTGTCCTGGCGTGGTGTGTGTGACGGATGTATCGTAAGCGGGAATAATCATAATGCAGGTGTCCTCGGGTCGTCTCAGGGGAATCTACAAGACGATGGGTATGCTGGCTGATTAGCAGTGATGCTGATATGCTTTGGTCATGGTTCTATACGCTTTAGCCGGTGTGGGAGGTGCCGATTTATGGAGATTTTGAGAGTGACATATATCTTGAAAGTGTATGCATCGGTGGATCATGCTAAGAAATATAATCTTATATGCATGCCATGTATTATATGTCAGCAATAATGATGATAATTAAAATATATATAGATTATGAAATTGTTTATGTTGCCTAGTAGATAACAGTTGGCTCTGTTTAGTGATATTTTTGCTAATTTATCAAAATAATGCAACATAACACCACTAAAATTCTGTTGGGATGGGTATTAGGCCATCTGTTAATTACTTTAGTCATAGTCTGTATTTTCCATTTCATGCACACGTTTTTGTATTTCAAAACAATTTTAAAATGTCACGGTGGTGCGATGATAAATGAAGATTAATCATGCTAATGTGATTTCATTATAATTAACTTAAATTCGTATTATTATAAAAACATTATAAATAACATATTAACAGCAGATGAGAGGAGAGAGAAAGAAAGTGGGAGAGAGAGGGAAAGAGAGAGAAAGGGAGGGAGAGTGATCGTGTGAAAGTGAGAGAGAGAGAGAGAGAGATCGAGAGAAAGAGAGAGAAAGGGAGGGAGAGTGAGCATGTGAAAGAGCGAGCGGGAGAGAGAACGCAAGAGAGAGAGAGAGAGCACGTGTGCGGAAGAGAGCGGCTCGGTTGATCGACCGCGATGATTGACCATCGAGTGAGCTTCACAGCACTAACGGGCGCATCGAACGTTTTCCGTTGCAGTGACCGCCTCCTCGGATCGAGGCTACCACTACCGCTGCCGCCGCTGCTGCTGCTGCTGCTAGCTTAGCGAGGAGAGCGATCGATCGATCGATCAACAGAGTCGTCGTCGCTGTGCAGCGCGATGAACGAGCAGGTGATCTACAGGGCGCTGTACGACTACGAGCCGCAAGAGGCGGACGAGCTCACCATGCTGCAGGGCGACCGCATGTTCGTGCACAAGCACGTGCTCGTCGAGCGCGACGTGCCGATCGAGGCGCCCAACGACTGGGTGTTCGGCGAGAACGAGCGCACGCACCGCACGGGCTTCTTCCCGTGCACGTACGTCAAGTACGCCGGCAAGCAGGTGGTGGCGCCGCCGCGGCCCGCGCCGCGACACCCGGCCGCCGCCGCGCGCAAGCCGCCCAACGACGACTCGGGGATCGGCGAGTCGCCGATGAAGGGTACGTTGTGGGGTGGGGTCGGGGGTGGATTAGGGGGTGTGGGTGTGGGTGGGCCATTTATGCATGTCGTCATGAGCTAATAATAAATTTTTTGTACAATGTTTAATATAGTTACATTAGCTCTTGATGTCGTGTGTATGTTGTATACATGTACGTTTGTGGCGGGTGTGGGTTGGGTTGTGCATTATTTTTTTTCTTCGATTTTTTACGATTTTGATTATGGTCATTAATTTCATTTTTCATTCTTTTTTCGCACATTTTCAAGATGCTCTCAGGGCGATTTTTAGTCGTTTTTAGTGTTTTTGGCTAAAATATAGTATCAATAAATCCTGTAAATTGAGTTGGATCTGTCCATTCCCTAGTGCAGGGATCATTTGAGCACGCGCGCAACCTGTGTTTCTCCTCCCAGAGCAATCTGACGCATCTACGCACCAATTGTGAGCAAATGGATGCATTTCTCGAAGGTTTTGCTGCACCCAGAGCAATTTTCCATTATAAAAACGACATCATCAGCGACAGTCATTGCATTTAGTAGTAGCGGTGGGAGGTAGAGGAAAAAACCGAAGTGGAATGTAGAAGATTCAGTGACAGGTCACCTTCACATCATTTGCATAGAAATCAGAATTCGTGCATTGGGTACATTGCACATTGTACATTGTGCATTGGGCACATGCTTGTGGTTTGTTCTTGTTAAATATGCTTACATTAGTATCAACGTCTAGCAGATGAGTGTATTAGACCGGCAGCCCAGAGGCTTGAGGGTAGACGAACTGGGTACCAATATCTACGTATTGGAGTATATAGGGTGTCACCTAAGACTTATAGAAATGCTATTCTGGCGGGTACCCCCCGTTGCGTATAGCCAGGGGACCCCCCAAAAGGGTGTAAAAAATGGGTCTGAAATAGATGATCATGGTACCAATTGCAATAAGTACCATGGTGAGGTAACTGCTAAATATACATCAAAAACATATACAACAGAAATTTTCGCTGTTGTTAAAGGCCCGCCAGACCCCCCAAAAGGGCCTAAATATTTAGGCTAGAATAGACGAGACAGGTACCAAGTGAAAGTGATGCCAAATGATCAGGTTCATTCCATAGAGCACAAAACAGGCTACGCCATTTTGTCTGTTGTACAAGGGGTGCCAGACACCCCCAAATATTGTACCACTGGGCACTGCATGTGGTACATCTAGGCTGGCCTAGATGTTATAGGTACCACTTGAAACTAGGTTAAAGTGACAAAGCACTTCTCTGGGAATACAAAATGGGCAATGACAGAAATGTATTCCAATGTGTTGGTCCTGCCAGACCCCCAAAATAGAACCCTTGGCCCATCTAGGCTAGTCTAGATGTTATAGGTACACTTGAAACTAGGTTTAATTGACAAAGCACTTCTCAGGGAATACAAAATGGGCAATGACAGAAATTATTCCCAATGCATTGGCCCTCCCAGAACCCCCAATCGTACATCTAGGCTACCCCAGGCCCAGTTGGAATCCGTCCTCAACAACAACCACAACGACGCAGGAACGCACGTGTTCATCAGATAACTTCCAGATATTGTCAATGCTTTTTTGAAATTCTAAAAGAGTTAAGGTAATTTAGATCAAAAAGAAAAGTGTTGTTCAAAATATAACAGACCCCTTGTGTGTACATGTATGAATAGCTAGAGGACCCCATCATCGCCATGACCCCATCATCAAGCGATGCATGGTAGGCTATATTAGGCCTATATAGGCCTGTACACCCCCGGGTGTACACCATACCTTGCCTATACCTAAATCCATGATATCTAATGTGAAAATAGGATAAGCCCTACGGTTCATGTATCTTATAGGTTATCTGTTTTAATGTGTGATGTACATAGATCTGGATCATTTTGCAGGAGGACTTTCCTTGTAGGTAATACAAGACAGAGTGGCGCATATTATTGTGGTTTCTATGTTACTAATGATGTAGAGAGTTACATCACCATTCTTCCGACAGTCATCGATGTCTTCTTCGGACTAAATCGCCCTAACTATGCTCGATGGGGAGTACTTTTCCTCACCACACTTCAAGCTGCTGACCGAAGATTCGCGCTGTACTGGAGAAAGGAGCCTTTTCAATTCGACGTACATCCAAGTCCTTTTCAAGAACAGCAGTAGACCTAACGCTAGAGCAAATCGTGAACAGAGATGCGGCTCCCCAATGAAGGGAATTGTTGGATTCCATAACTCTCCCAATGCATAACGGCGATGGTGTATAACGTCAACGCAGAGAGCAATGTCTGTAACAGAGTTGCGACGGATGATGGGACTCTTACCAGAGGAGCAGCCAAGGACACAGCTTCGTGCAAGTCGAATAAAAAAAGACAACCGCCAATCCAGGCTCTTCTCACAGCAGTGTCGGAATCATGCGACCATTCTCTGAACCGCGCCATCACATCGTCAAGTCTGTTGAATATTGCCACATGAAAAAGCGCTCTCCATCGACACAAGAGTACCTCACAGATTCGTTACAAACTGGTCATGAACTGCAGAAAAAGTTCAGGGAAGAATGTCGAGACAGCTCCAGATTAGTGAAGCCCATACGACGGAGAAAAGTGAAGAACTTCGCCAGTGAGAACACGAAGGTCAAGCAATCCGCAAGTTCCAAAGCGATCCAGCAGTCAACAGTCAACGGACCGTTTGTCCGTATGCTTGTGGTTATTTCTCAGAAAACCAACTTCGATCTAAAACATGTCGTCACTTACCCGATCACAGATGTTTCTCTCTCAATTGCCACACCTGATGGTTCACGTTGAAGACGGATAAGAGCAAACTCTTGAACAAGCTTGAGTCATTGCAAGATGGAATGAAATCCTTGCCTCCCATTGATGCAACTTGGATTGATGGTGGACTCCTGCTTCGCTCATATCTGTCAGCCATTGGCAACATATCATCATACGGAAATCTTGCAAGACGACTTTTGGGCCATGCATGCTGCAGCATTGGCAAAGGGAAAGAAGTACACATCTTGTTCGACAGATATCTGCATGATTCGCTAAAGGAGAGTGAAAGAAGATTACGTGGGGCTGAAGACCAACCATTTGTCATAGGTGGTTGTGAGCAAAGGCCGAAACAGAGTTGCCAAAAGCTATTGCAGAATGGCATTTTCAAGGATCAACTCGCCAAATTCTTCATGATCGAGTGGCAGAAGGCGCATTATGGACCAATCCTTGGCCGGAAGACACTAATTGTATCACATGGGGGGGGGGGCAAATGCCTTCGCATTGAGTACGATGAAGTTAGTGAGAAGATGACTGTTGACCACCCAAACTTGTTGCAAGGAAGCCATGAGGAAGCAGACACCCTTCTAGCATTTCATGCTGCTACAGCCACTGGAACCCTACTCATCCGAGCCTCAGACACTGATGTGATTGTAATAATCTTGGGCATGCTCGGACGGAACATGGTGGCTGGGATACCATTGAAGATGATCATCATGGATTGTGGTTCTGGCAACAGTAGAAGATACATTGATGTCACCAGCATTGCCAGGGCTTTAGAGAGAAACAACAAGATCTAACAGCTGCTTTGCCAGACCTACATCTTTCAGTGGCTGTGACTTTACAGCGGCATTCTACAGAAAAGGAAAATCAAGCCGTACGAGCTACTAGAAGATGACAATGCAGGAAGTTTGATCATGTTCTTCAGCAGCATGTCGTCGAGAGGGAACTAACGAGAAGATCGCAGAAGTGTACGTGTGCTCCCTATAGTGGAATGGCAAGTGAATGATGTTAACAAGGCAAGTTCAAACAAGCTTGTTCAGCTGACTGGCAAAATAGTAAGGTGAGAGAACATGAATGAAAAAAATTGAATGCCATGCAAGAGAAAAAGAAAACTCATAAGTGAAGAGGCACCTTGACACAACTGACCTTATAATATCATTGTACCGGTACCTCCTGCATTCATTCCTCTTGTCGTTTCAGGAAAAACCCATGGCGAAAGTCAAGAAAGTGGATTGTGGCCCTGGCTACCCCCATGTGGAAAGACCATGTGGAATAAAGTAGCAGCGTGCGCATTATGTGAGCATCATATGGGGTAATGCAGACTCCCCACAACCGACCAAGATCTGGACCTCTCTTCCAGTATGGATGGAAGAATGAAAACGGCCTATTATGTACCAGATTGGTTTCCTGGGGCCTGCTGAACCAGACAATCTTTTCTGCAATGATCACGAGGAGGAAATCGATAGAGATACAGGAAAATGAGGACATTGAATGACATCCCAACGGATGATTCTGGCAGCAGACTCTGACCAGAATGGAGTGACGATTCGGATAGTGAAGAGCGAGGCCTGAAGTTGCTTAGCCAACTGACAAGTTGCATTTTACGCTATAGGACCTATATGCCTTGCATTATCGGAAGTGATGTTGTTTGGAAATACTCTGCTGCAAAGTATGCGTTGTATGGTGCTTCACATGAGAATACTACTCATTCTAGTCTTGTCTCAGCGAATGATGAAGTAGTACAAATTACTTTAAAATTCTCTATCACGAAGTAAAAATTTAAGGATATACTATATATTAGGTTGAAAGCATAGAACGATACTGTTATACCCTACGATTCCTGTGAGAAATGTCATTGTTTTGTAGGCTTCTGATTTGAATCCAATATTTAGGCCGTCTGAAGAATCGCATCAAACAAGCCAACGGCTTGATTCTTGAAGAATACTACATGTACTTACTTGCTACTGATTCGTTTTCTTGAATGCATTATATTTTTCATCCAGATTAAATTTTTTATATCATGTTCCTAATTCTCTTAGGATTTGCAAGTTATGATGTTGTGATATTCGTGGTTGAAACGTTAGAGATATTTTTGTATTACGATGTGGATGGCAAAACTTGCCCACTCTTGAGTCCGTTTTGTAACTCTGTCAGTTTAATTTGGCATTTTTGAAATAAAATCTTGTCATAAGTTTCCATATCAAAGTTTAAAATCAGTATTCCATATTAGTCTTTGTTAAAGCTC